AGTTACATAAATCGTATACTTAATAAAAATTGAGTCCTAAATGCACAAGTTTGACAATGGAGGCAGAATCTGAGCCCTCTGATTTCCCAAAGCAGATCTCTGGTTAATTAGAACTACTGCCAAGTAGCCTCAAGAGGGGTGCTATTTCTCTGATACGTACTCCACAAGATGAAGCCTACTTGTAATTCCCCATAGCATAGCTACAAGGTTTTTTAAGATTTGAAACAAAAGAAACTTGAGAGAGCAAAATGGATGGCAAATGGTACTTACAGGCCAGGAAGGGGCGATGACACCAAGGGCCTAATAGAGTGAATACTTGTGAGCTATTATTCATGGATAATTTACATTGGTATAGTTTTTGTATATTAATACAAGTTCAAATTATATTTGTTACTTTTGTTTACATTATTTGCACATCTACACAAAGTTATTTGTCAGATTATATATGTATGTTATTACCCCTGTTTAGGACATTTTGTAAATTGATACAACTTTTAGGATATATTTTCATATTGCATTATATATTACTCCTACCTCTGATCAAGATACTTATATATTGTTTACATTTTGAGGTCATTGTCCTCATTTGTTGCACATTTGTTTACAGGTTATTTAATATTCTGACATAAAATTTTAGTCTTTAAGTTATACGGGTATTAATTATTACAGGTCAATAGTTGTTCATGTTTGTTGTATATACGGTCAGATCAATTAGGTTCTTTAGATATATAGAGCCTGTATTCTGTCTAGATAGGTAATCTTCAACCACTTCAAAGATCTGTGGAACATGGCATTTAAATAACTTAGGGTTCCGTTGACATGAGACACAACTGCTTCTGACAGCACCAATCTATTCCTGAGAAAATGCTGAGCACCAAACAATACTCCACCTTGTTTTCTTCTTGGCAAAACTGGTCTTTGGGCAAGGGACTGACAATGCCTCAACCACTGACAAGTTACATGATGTCTGGAAATGGATAAGCAGGACTGTCAAATCTTGCCAAGACAGGATAAGACAGTTTTGAAAAATTTTTCCTGCCTCTGAAAATGGTCTGCCAGTTACTCTAGGCCTTAGCCAAAGTTGGTTGCTTCAACGTTGCAAAATGAGACTTTGGGTGACTGATTGCTCAGGTAGCTGATTGTCTCTGTCATATATTGTTCGCTTTGGAAGCTGCCTGATTGTACTTCCTGCCTGCTCAAGTAATATTATCTCCCTTCTCAGGCCTTCTATGGGGTTGAAGATTAGATAGTTTTAGTTACTGTCCTCTTATGATCTAGCCAAGCCATTTCCAACACAAGAGTCATGCTAACTTTATTTTTCTAGATAAGGCTACTCAGGTCTAAGCATACTGTGTTGTGATTAGATAAGCCCCTTCCTTCCAGCACTTAGAAGCCAAGCGTGCTGGCACACACCTGGGACCCCAGCACTGGGCAAACAGCAGAAGAAGGAGAAGCACAACTCTGAGGGTGACATGGCTAGTCTGGACTGCATAGAAGAGATCACCCAAGAAGTTGGGAAAGACTTGACAATGGCCTGTATTGTTCGAACACTGTGCACTGAAGAAAGGCGAATTGTAAGCACAGGAAGATAACCCATTTCTGACATTTGACATCCATGAGTGTGGACTTCTACACACAATGTATATATAGGCCACACACACACCAAATGGGGGTAGAAAGGAAAATGACATGCCTGAGAGTAAAAACGCTGAGAGTCCACAGTTTAGAACAAACTGTCTACAGACATTTGGACATGATATAACAACACGCTCCATGACCTACCATTTCTTTCTCCCATCTTTTGCTGTTTCGTACATAAAATTCTTCAAAACTCAGTGAACCAAGAGAACCACTTTGATTGGAGAGTATACTGGAGTCCAGATGGCGTCTCTATGAACTCAGTGTGTTGCTATGCCATTACCTAATATTCTTTGATACTTGAGTTTTGGAACAGAAGCTGTGCTTGAAAAGACTTTCAGAATGACGACGAGTCCAAGCAAGACAGGCACAGCATCTTCGTCAATGCCAAACTGGCAGCTGCAGCAGGACCACTGGCATTGTCTTTTCAAATATGAAAATTAATCCTATGCTCTGGTCCACAAGTGCATGAAACATCCTGCAGGGAAAACAAAGAACCTTTAAGAATAATACAAAGCATTATGAAAAGAATATAAGTTAACTTGAAAATAAACTACCAAACACCAAAATTAGGAAAAGTATAGAGAAGAATCACCCATAATCCCATTGCTCATGCTGAACATGTTAGTTAACCTTATACTGCATTACTAATCAACAAACTATTATTCTTAGTACTTCATAAAACTTTAAAAACTAGGAGTAATAATGGTATCTGCCTCATTATATTGTTGTGAGAATAAAATTATCACACAGAATAGTATTTGACATATAGGAAGAATTCAATGTTACCATTATTCTCAGACTAGAATTCTAAAACAAAATTTAGATTTCAGTGTTTATGTTTTTTCCATGCTCACAATATCTATTCTTTGCCCCTCATTAATATTCTTATATAACTATATGGCCACTTTATATAGTTTGGATAATAATTCATATAAAAAGTTTTAATAAATATTTTAAAATTATTAATTGGCAATATAAAGTTCTGTATCATTCATTTAAACTTTATTTTTTTAAACTGTTATACATCATACTGGAACAAATATTTTGGATTTTTTTTCTTGCATTTTTCTGATTGTATCCTTAGGGGAGAACTAATACAGTTTTTTTGAATTATCCCAATGTCAGTAAATACATGATAAATTTTTCTGGTTTTTCTACATCACAAACCAGAGGAACGTGAGAAAACTTTAAACTTATGTACAGTCATGTTTAAAACTAAAAGAGAACTCTCAACAGATACAGGCTGTGAGGCCACTGTGAGGAAATGAAACAGGAAACACTCAAGATATGCCAAGCAAAATCGTAACACAAAAGGATGACAGGAAGCCTCCCCATGAGATGAGAGCTCCGAAATACATGAAGAGGATTATACCGTGAAAATGAGAAGTAACAAGCTCACGAAACTGCTGGGGTTGTGCTTAAACAGGGTTAAATATTTCTAAGACAAATGTGAATGTATTTGATCTCCTCAAAGGGCTGAGGAGATGCACAATTCCGAAAATAGCCAATGAAGTCTCGTGGATATAAAAACATTTCTTCCAATAAACTGTTTAGGTAAAAACAACAAAGACTCATGGGAAAAGCCATTTAGTACTCTAGAAAATCACAGTTGGTAAATTATGGGGAAAAAATAATGAAGTGATAATGCCTAAGTATTTCTCAAAAATGGAAAACATAAGCCGCTGTCCACTGAGTGCCAAGTAGAATACACTTTTTCTGTTTTCTGAGACAGGCTGGCCTTAAATTGGCTACTACACCAAGGTGGCTTTGAACTTCTGATCTTCCTGACCACACTGGATTTACAAAGGTGTGCAGGATCCAAGCCAGGGCTATTACCTAGGTGAAACCCTAGAACAGGCTCCGCAGCCACCACCAATCACGAGACGCTTCCGCGTACCAAAAGAAGAAACAGTTCTTAGAAACTTGAAAGAAAATCTCTTAATCAAAAACGGGTGTGTAGCAGACTGGTAATGAGACTTATCAGAAATGCAAAATGTTAAAAGGTAAATATAAATCAGGAACTGTACCTCTAGCCAAGCAAACTTTCAATTGTAAATTAAGTCTACAGGTGTCCAAGGACCCCTAAGAGACACAGCCCAGCTGCCTTCCAGGGTGGTTCCAGTAACTCAGCAAAGGGTGGGTGGAGACAGGGGCCCAGTTGTTCAAGGTCATCCTCTGCTGGACTGAGCTCCCAGGTAGCAAACAAGAAACTGAAGAAGCAGCTCTCTCTAGGGACTGATTTACATTAGAAAAAAAAAAAAACAATAATTCACTGGAAAACTTTGCAAAACAGAAATGTTAAGAAAAAAATTTAAACCACAGACTCATCTTCCAGGGATAAGACTAACAGTTCATTGAGGAATTTTTGTTTGTCTTTCGGTCAAGCTGGCCTTGAACTCTTAGGTGGACTCTGCCTCCGGAGGGGTGGAATTAAAGGCGTGAGCCACCTCCACCAGGTTAGCAGTCAAATTGCAAATTTGGCTCTTTTCCAGTCTCGTGCTGCTTTTATCTTGTAGAAAACACATCCCCTTTTACTTAGATCTCTAAGTTTCCTTTTTACTTTTCAGGCTATTAGTGTGTGTGTGGAGGGGGAGTAGGCTCTAAACTAAGAAGGCTAAGTTACCACTACCCCGTTGGTTCCTTGACAGGCATGACATTTACGCGTGTCAGTCGGGGGTCGGGCAGGTTTTAAGTTACGCCATGGGTTCCCATTTAACCCACACAGCAGTAATAACGGGAAAACAGCTTCTGGGGTAGAAAGCATGTCAGATCGCATGTGGCAGCCTAGAGCGGCTAAACGTAAACAAAGCTCCCCACTTTGGTCTTCACTCACATAAAGAGAACCGCCCTAAGTTTCCTCACGCCTGAGAGCTGTCAATCATGGACTCTGTCGCGGACTGTGGGTGGGGAGCCCGTCGGTGGCTCCGACGACATCAATCGACTTCAGTCGGTAAGCAATTTCATTTATTAGGGGCGTGTGCCATCTTACCTGTGGAACGGACGGACCTGGCTTTAGTCACCCTCCGAGTCCGGCTCCGGCGTTTCACGCTGCACTCCGCAGCACACAGCCCGTTACAGCCGAGCTGCTCGGGAACCGGGCCGCCTCAGCTACCGGGACTGTGAGCCTCCCGCACGCGCAGGGACAGCCGGGCTGACCCGCAGCGCGCCCCGCACGCCGCGACACTCTGACACTCCCGCCAAGAGACGTCCTCCCATCTATCCGGCAGGTGCGAACCCACAACGAGCTCCGCCGGTGCGCAGCGCCCGCCTTCGCCAGACGCTCATTGGCTACAGCTCCTGCCACTCAGTGCCCTGACGCCACACGCGCGTCCCGTGGCCCCGAGGCGCTGTTCGGAGAGCGCCGCTCCCTGATTGGTCAGCGCCGCTTTCGGCGGGTCTCACGCTGCCTGCTGTGGCCAATCGGGCTCTCCGCAGTCTAGAGAGCGGCCTCGCTGGAGTGGCGGTGCGGCTCTTCACTCGGTAGGTGCGGGGCTGCCATCTTGTGTGTGGCTGGCGGCGGGCCTGCTGCCCTGGAAGTGTGTGTAGCGGCTGGTTCTAGGAGACCCCGCGCGGGGACCGGACTGTCGGGAGTGATGGATGGGGAGACCTCCTTAGCAGGGGCTCTGCTCAGCCGCAGCCTCCTCCCCGGGTTTGGGTGGCGGCGGCGGCGAGCCCGGGCTTTGGCTTGCTGCTCTTTAGAGACGTTCATGCCTTAACCTTGGTTCCGGGGTTTGCGAGAATTCTCGGCAGCGTTTGCGGCGGGAAGATTTCCGCCATCGATCTATCCCTCTCCTGATTGAAGGAGGTTGACTGCGGGATTCGGAACGGAAAAAGCCGGTCATGGAAGGGTGCGGGAGATATCTCAGCAATTGATCCCCGGGGCGATAGAGAACCCTTCTTTTTTTGTCAATTGCCAGGGACTGACTGCTGAACTATTTATTGCCCTTCTCGAGAGTTCGTGGGAGTAGCCCTTTAGACTTATGGTCACATCCCTTGGTTTCAGTGGGCATCAGGTTGTGGGAGAGTTTTATTCGTAAGTGTACGGCCAACATTCTTTCAGTGGCTCAAAACGAAACAGAAACTGTTGGTCTGCAGAAACGGAAAGTGAGGGGAGAATTTCACTAATTTTTTTGTTGTGAAACAAAACTCATATACTCCAGATTCGATTCAAGCTAAGTATGTAGCTGAGGCTGGCCCTGAACTGATCCTTCTGCCGCCACTGCCCAAGTTACGGGTTTACAGGATTGCTTCACTTAGAACCTGTCCTTGTTTCAAGTGCGCTGAAAGTTTAGTGTAAATTCCTCTTTACACATTTTTTTTATTTTACAAACTATCATAAGAAAGCTTGCAAATAAATAAATAAAAATAATAAATAAAAATATCACACCAAAATTAACCGAACTTCAACTCGGTACAACTCAATGAACTTCAATACACCCATAACTGGCCTTCAGAAACGGAGTGGAGAAGTTTCACCTTGAATTTACACATATTGAATATGTGATAATGCACTTAGCCACAACCAAAACCAAAATATATACACGACAGAGTCGTAAATTTCTGGATCTGTCATTGCTATGCCTGGTGGTTTCATCGTAGAAGACTATTATTTTTTTTTTTTAAGGAGAATGTTCAAGTTTGCAGTGTTCCTGGGAAGAGCAGGACCCTACCCTTTCCTCTTAGATTCTTCTGCTCTTGAAAAAAAAATTGACTCCCGCCTCCTCCCCCTTGAGAAGTAGAAAACACTTGTTGTATCTCTCTTGGAAGAGACTGCCAGATCTGAAAATCTAGCCAGTTAGAAATATTTTGTGATTAATTTCGCAGCTCTGATATACTGAGAAGCTGATACTTTCCTCAGCTCCTTCACTTTGGTTTTTAGTTATTCAAGGTTACCTGGAGGTTCCGCTGAGTCAACAGGGCAGGGGAGGGTGTCTTTTGTGACAGAAATAACCAAACAAAACCCCAAATTTATTAATTTACTTTTCAAAGTTATGAGCCATACTAAATTTTTCTTGGGGAAAAAAGAAAAGGTTGAGCACTTGATCTCCCATCTACATCCTAGCTCTGGCTTTGTGTCCCTCTAGCTACTGAGGATTAAGTGGAAGGCATCCTGGGAAGCCTTTGTGTTCCTTGTTGCTTTATTTTTCTTACAGGATAGAGGCACCCTTTCCTGGTTATCCTTTAACTCTGTGTTCACAATCTCATCTGTTCCTGTTACTTAAACTAACTTTTTAATGCAAGTGAGAGCGATATGTCAAATTTTTGCTCAAGCACTAAAAACACATTTCAGATAGTCTTGACAGATCTTAATACAAACATACTTCTTCCCTCGTGTTTTTTGTATTATCCTGATCATTGATGTGGGGAGTCTTCTGTGTGGTCAGATTTAAAATTAAATTAATCCTTTTTTACACAATAACTTGACTATAGCTGCAGTTTCTGCAATGGCTTTCCTTTTGTCTTTCTGCTCTTTCTCCTTCGCTAAATTCAACATTTTATTGGGTGTGACAGTGCAGGTATCAGTCCCCAAGGTGACTGGGATAGGCAAGTTCCAGTGTTGAGTCTTGTCTAGTCTTTGTAGTGAGACCCTGTCTTAGTAAAACAATTTATATGTCACTATATTCATGACAAGTCCTATAGTCCTTAGCTTGGGATTAAGATACAGTTTGGCTACTATGATAGAGATACTAAAAAGTAAATGTGGCCTTAGAGGGTGAACTTTCCCACGTAGAAGAATATTAGCTATGCAGGTGCCCATGTTGCACACTCCCACCCTTCCGATGCTCTCACCACGTGGCTCCCTTTATGAACCGATATGGCTGCTTCGTGTCCTGTGTATATATACATACCACGTTCCTAATGGAATGATAAAATCTATTTTGTTAGAGGACAAGTATTTGCAAATGCTAATAACCGAATTTTGTGCCTTCATTTATTTCAAGTAATTTTTACATGGTCATGCAAATTCATGTAATAATTTTATCCCTTTTGGTACCATTCATGATGGTTCTCTGGGGCTAGGTGGGTCGAATTTGTCCCCCTCAAAAATCATGTGTATGGCCCCTTATTTATCTGTGGACATAGAGCTTTCTTTGCTTTTCATTTATTTGTGTTTGCAGCAGTGGTTCCCAATACTAACAAGTACATTCCTTTGGAAGTAATTGCTGCTGGTACTTGATCAGGTCTGGCTTCTCCCCACTGCTCCTCAGTGATTCAGGAAAAGATTTGGAATGACAGATATCAAAGAAGATGGGAAACTGCCACCAGCAAAGAGCACTTAGAGAAGAATTTGGGTGCAAAGAGCTTTACTAGAGAGGTAGGGGAGAAGCAAGGGTCAGGAAGTCTTCTGGATGAGTAGGTTCTCTCTCACCCAGAGCCTGGGTTTTGTTTTTTCTTCTACTGGGTTAACCTTGAGGCATCAATCACCTCTTGTCTTCTTAGGCCAATTTCTGTAGTTTTTCAGGTGATTTCTGAGCCAGTTAAAGATGCTTTATTTTTAGTTAGAGAATAAGATTAGCAAATCCATGATCTATTGTTGTGTGGTCTTTTACTCTTTTGGCTTTTTGAGGGGCCCACCACCCCGCTCCCAAGTAAATCAACACGGAGGCATATTCTTAGTTATGAATGCCCGGCCTTAGCTTGGCTCGTTGCTAACCAACTTTTCTTAAATTAACCCATCTACCTTTTGCCTCTGGGCTTTTATCTTTCTTAACTTCTGTATACCTTTCTCTACTTCTTTCTCCGTGGCTGGCTGGGCACTAATGTCTTCTTCACTTCTCATTCTCCCTCCTCCCAGAGTTCTCCTCTATACTCTCAGCCTGGCAACCCCGCCTATCCTTGCTTCTGCCTCACTATTGGCCATTTGGCTCTTTCTTAAACCATCAGGTGTTTTAGACAGGCAGAGAATCACAACTTCACAGAGTTAAACAAATGCAGTGTAAACAAAAGTCACACGCCTGAAAATAACATTCCCCAACAATCTATACTTTGATACCATCCAAAGACAGATATCCTAAATCTAGTTCTCTAAATCTAGAGAAAAGAAAGTTTTAAGATGCTGGCCTTGGAGCCTGAGTGATGGCTCAGTGAAGTGAGTTCAGTTCCAGGACCCATATGGTGGATGTGGAGAACCAGTTCGTACAAGTTGCACTCTGAACTGCACATGCAGGGACACACACACGGTAAATGGTTTTTGTTGTTTTTGTTTTTAAGGACCTTAGCTGTGAAAAGAACAGTGTCACTGACTTCTTAAAAAAAAAAGATGTCTGTCTGCAGATAGTTCCTTTGCCCAGGAATAGCTAACCTTGCTGTTAATCACTAAGCTACTAGTAGCAAGTTAGGCATGTTTTCTCATGCCTGCAATGCCGGGCTGAGGCATAAGGATCATGAGGTCCAGACCAACCGGGACTAGAAGACATAAAACAATTGAAAGCTTACGTTCCTGAAGGAAAATAGCAAGACATAATTTGAGACTATTAGGAGCTCCAGCTGAGCTAGTGGGAGACTGATCAGAATCTTGCTATGTAACCCAGGTTGACAACTTCCTGAGCGCTGGCATTATCAATGCCTATCACCATCAGTGATTGCTTGTTTTGTGTTCGAGACTGGGGATTGCTTACTTGGTTTATTTTTGAGGGTGGGTCTTACTGTAGTCCAGACTAGGTTGGGACTTGAGAGTGTCTCTGCCTGACACATGCTGGGACTAGGGCCTAACCTAACAAATCAGACAGAATTAGTCAAGTTTTGCTTTATTTAAAATGAAAACAACTGAAGCGAAGCAGGAGAGCTTATATATCCTTGGGTTATTGTGCCAGGCTCAGCTCTTAAGGGTTCCTTCAGCTAAGGAAGTTAAGTTAGTTAAGCCACTTGGGATTCCTTGAGAGGAAATGCCTCTTACTAAAAGTAATGACGAATATCCTGTGTGATAAATTTCTGCTCATTTAAAGTATGTAGATAGTTCATGATTGAGTGAAATTTAAACAATATACACCTACAAATCCAACCCTACAGGCACACACACACACACTCACTCACTCATAAACACCACAACCACCAACAACAAAATAACAAAGCAGTAAACATTGGTCATTGATATCTCTCAATATCAATGGTCTTTATTCCCCAATAAAATCTTTCTGCTGCATCTGAGGAAAAATTCTTCAACATCAGTGATAGACATCATCTCAGGGTAAAGGATTGGAAAAAGATATTCCAAGCAAATGGACTTAAGAAGCAAGATGGTATTGCCATTTTAGTATTTGACAAAATAGACTTTAAAGCAATCAGGACCCATATGATCTCAAAGAGAATGAAGCAGCAAGCACAGGGCTGACATGGTTCTGCACCAGGTCTTCTGCATATATTTTATAACTATTAGCTTAGTATTCTTATGGAACGTCTCACTATGAAAACAAGTAGGTCTTTAATTCTTGTGCCTGCTGTTGGGACTATTTTCCTCCTGCTGGATTGCCATGGCCAAC